CCTGACCTTCACGAATTTCCTTATCACTTGTTTGAAATAGCGTAATACTTATAATCTCAAAATAAATCTCATCCCCGAATTTACGTCGATTAACTTACGACGAAACTTTAACATATAAAAATACGGGATGTAACATCTCATTTCCGAGCTTATATCAATTTACTTATGGTGTACTTTTACATAAGAAAACATAGGGTGTAACATCATTCCCCCCTTTAGAGCATTCGTCCTCGAATGTTGACTGATGCACTTATCATTATCATAACCTATAGCTCTTGCGAATACTTTAGTACTCTCCTTGTCATCTACACAATTGCTCTCTGAATAAATCCAAAGGCCAGGGCATTCCCCCCTTTAGGCCTCTTTCTCACACCACGACTTGTGGTCGGAATCCTTCCAATCTTGTAACTGTTGCTACCTTCTATCATGCAGTCTGTACGACTCTTGACCTTGTAAGTGTGCCTATGCAACTCTTCTCTGCTTTTTCCCCAGCTTTTAGCCAATCTCTAGTCCTCACTTTGGGAACATATACAGAACTTGACAAGATGTCCCTCTTAGCATCTATAGGTATACTGAAGTTCTTCACTCGGTACTTTATCGAACTTACGACTATTGTTATATCTTATTTCATAGACCCGGTTATCCATCCGTTATTGATTCACCTCAACATTGATCTATAATCTACCACTGATAACTTGAAACCTTTTACGTAATTACTAGGGCTCACGTTGCATCGTAGAACATTTGAAGTGATTTTCCTGATCCACATGGGGGTGATACAATACTATAATTCCATAATCGTATTTCATATCATCCCAATGTGATTTACCTTACGTGGGTATCTCAATCTTATACAATTCATGAAATCATTACCCAAACGCCATCCGTTATCTTTCACAATTACACCCTCATTCTACTACCAGGGCATCATTCCATCTCTTCTAAATGCTATTAGTCTTAGACTCCTTTGAGTTCATTCAGGTTATACTTAGCTTTCTATAACTTAAAGAACCCATAAGCTCTCTTGTTTTCATGGGCTTAATCCCGAGAACATATCCATTCTCGTCACCTTCTCACTCACCTTTTCTTATCCTTACTCATGTCTTCCTAAAACCTTTTCGCTCTTATACTACTTGAAATCTTCTTTCAACTTGCTTGCACCATAGATTTTCTTATGTTATTCTGGGACATCAAGAGAGACATCACATCGTCTCTAACTCTTCTTTACTCTCTTGACTAGGCCTCTCGATACCTAGAAACCATAGGCTGGAAGATATGTCACTGACGACGCCGCTACCATTCCTGGATACTAAATCCCAGTGCTTCTAACCTTCTATCTACAGTATGGATTATTTGCAACCTTCTGCATTTGAGTATCTCGTACGTTGTTCACCTTTACCTTACTTACCTTAAAATCTCGCATCACATTTTCTATATCTTTCATGACCTCACTTTAACATAGGTATAATTCACATCCACAACTTGAAGCTTTACTATAATACTTGAACCTCTGGTGTATACACAATCCAGTAGGAGCTTCATACTGACTTCTTATGAGGCTGGTACTCTTCTAATTAGCTTTATCGTAAAGCCATTATAGAATATGGTTATTGTACTATCTCTTTGTACCTCTGATATTAAGAGTGATTCTGCAATATTCTCAATTATGATGTCCATAATTTTCTGGGTCTAATAATTAGACTCCTGATTTACTTCATTGATGTAACTCTTTAGTTTCCTCTTCCTTCTGATCAGCCTTTATGTAGGCTTAAGTTATCTTCTGATCTGTGGCTCTTGGTATCAGTTATTACTTTAGCCCTTAATGGACGCTATGGAATATCCATGATATAATCTTCTAACAATTCAATCCTTTGTCTATGACCTGGGCTCAATTCTTTCTTTTAACTTATACCGGAGTCTTCTACGACTGTATGATTGTCAACATATATGCTGCATGGATAATACTCTGAAATTTTAAGTGCGTTTATAACGTAATTAACTCTGGATCATTGATCGCATAATTCCTTTCGTTCCTTCTCAACTTTATTTAAATGTAAGCAATTACTTTTCTTGGTCGTTTTGCCACTTGTTGCATGAATACTTGGCTTATCTTAGTGCCCACACATATTGGAATTCTATACAACCCATATGATCTTGAATATCACCTTATAAATTTTTTCTTCTTCTCGTTCATTAGCCACGATAGCTGCCACTTTCTTATGGAGTGCATACATTATTGTTGTGAGACTGTTGTTACAAGACCATTTCCTCTTTAGGTCACTGTGCTTAGATTAAAGCCTTCTTCCTTATTTCCTCAACTAGTCTTTCATTGTAGTACTTAGGAAGGACCTTCTGACTCTTGTAAAGCTACGAGCTCATTACATCGTATACTCGACGGAATTTTTGATGTCCTTCCTCGCCTATAATTATCTGTAGTTACTTACCTCCACGCCCTTGTGCTTGTAGGGTTGCTTCTAAACTGATATTTTGACTGTCTTCCCAGTGGAACTCTCCTTAATTTCCGTAATACTCATACGGTACCTTTAACTACCCCAACTTTTATCTGAATATTTCTCAAGGATCACAATATCATTTCTGCGAGACTGAATTCCCCATGCTGGGGTTCACTATGTTTATCTTGCATGATCTGTTGATTTGTCTGTAACCTCTTGTCTAGCCATAACTAGGCTCTTCCTGAATCAACTACTAACTACTCGTTGGCCCCATATCAATATTCCGTGTAATCTTTCTTGGGTTATTTTCCTTATCTTAACTTACGTCTCACACATGCTTTTTCTCTATTAATAACATCTCAGGCAGGAACCCTTACTTTCTCTCCTTGATGTCGTGTTGGCATAATGTTCTAGAATCATAGAATATCTTTAGGGTTTGGATAAGTGCAATCTCATTCCTTTTTCATTTTTTATCGCATTCTTCCTTTACTATTCCATAGTTAATAGAACCATTTAATTCTGACTTAATGCCACATCACTCTATATTCCCCCTTTAGGGGAGTACTTAAGATTTAGCACTATGACGATCTACCTATAGATGTTTTATCTCTTCATATTTGGCATCTTCTCACATCATCGATGACCCTTACTCTCCTTGCGGTAATCCTTATGTACCAAGGATAACAAATTTCCTTACTCGCGAGGGTGACACTTAGTATAACTGGCACATACAGTCCCTTAAGCTTAACTTTGCTCACATTGCTTGCTTTAGGGAAGTGTCTTCCTGAATGACCTTTCTCTGAATTTCTTATGAATATTCTTTTGTTGTCCATTCCATTATCGCTGGAACGCAATCTGAAATTCTCATGATACCGACTATTATCAAATCACTCAGTCCCTAATTCATGTTTAGTTTATCTTGTTCACCAGTCTATACTGATTTGTATTACTCTGGGGTCTAACTTTTCCTTCTGGTAATCACGTTAAAGTCACAAACTTATTTCTCGAAATGAGGATATGACTTTATGGCCTATACTCTTTTGTTGTCTCAAGGCTTGTCACCTCTCGTCTTTTCCTTCACTTGACTATAGACTTTGTAATACTGTCATCTTTTTGATTTACTGTTGTCATCCATGTATCACATCTTACTCATAATGCTTCATTATCTCTCTTCTTATTTCCCTGGTAATATTTATGTCTATCATTTTTTTTGAAAACTCGAACAAGACATTCTTTTGCTTTTAGTTTCCCTTGCTCCATCCATTGGATCTTCGGGTTTCCTAACATTCTTTCTTTACTAGGGACGGGAGCCATACTAAGGTAATATTTATCCCTTCCAGGCTTCCAGTGCCTGTCTTTGTATTACTCATATCTAGTTGTACTATTTTAGAGTGCACCATCTGGGCGTCTCACAAGGAGATCTATTAGCACATTTGCAATATCCTTCAGAAATATCAGCTAACGCTAACAATCCATCCACCATTTTGGGTTACCCTAACCCCAGCTAGATCCTTATATCCTGCCATCTCTTATATTACTTCTGTTAGCTTCCATAGGGCATAAGTGAGATGGGTGTGGCCAATTTTACAAACCTCTGTTATTGTTGAAGGTAACTCAAAAGGCTTACATTCCTTTGCCTAAACTGTAAATATTGATAATCCTCGTATCCTTTTTCATCTTGCTTCTTTTACTTGTTGGAATTTGTATCTATCTTCCGAATCTCTCATTGCCTTTCACCATAGGGGTGGATAGATATTCTTGCCTTAAGGATCCTTATCAAGAAGTTTACACATCTTAGTACACACATGATCTGCTGAATACCTCATATTTATCCATCATAAGCATGATGCAAAAATTGAGTTCATCTGACTCAACTCTTCCATAGCTATATCTCTTACCAGCCGTCTTTCTGGATGTAGGCATCATCGTATTATGAATAAGATAGAGTTTAGGAAATTGAGTTCTTACAACTAAGCTCTACCACATGATCTAGAGTAAGAAGAAAGAGTGATAGTCCTAAATGCCCTGTAGCTTCCTGCTTATAAACGTGGTGCACAACACACCCATAAACAAGACTCTACTAGACACGGCTTGTAGACTTCCTAGGACAGAACTGCTCTGATACCACTTGTCACGACCCAAACCGATGGGCCGCGACGGATACCCGGTGCCTTACTCAACCGAGTACCAACGTTACATATCCTTCTTATCGTACTTTCATTAGCAAATGGGCCAAACGGGCTGTCATGGGCTAACCAAAATAAACATAAAGGAACACTCAATATAAGACGACCCAATCTGATATAAAAACTTATACACTTATACATTTGACATACGGGCCTATAAGGCCAAAGTTACACTGAACATAGGCCGACAAGGCCGTAAAATCTTTCACGTACACGACATATGTCTACAAGTCTCTAAGAGTACATACTTATTATAAAGGTCGGGGCAGGGCTCCACCATACCAAATAATACACGTCAAAATCATACTGACTAAATAAACAACTCCGGAGCAAATGGAGCGTACCAACACCTTCCGTTAAGCCGATAGCCTACTTGGAGGACTCTCGACCTGTCTATCGGGACCTGCAGGCATGAAACGCAGCGTCCCCCGAAAAAAGAACGTCAGTATAAATAATATACCGAGTATGTAAGGAATAAAAATCAGTAAACAATAGACATGAGAGAAACATGGAGTAAAAGACTCAACATGTAAGTCTGAATAGCTCTATGAATCATTTCATATTTATAATGCCATGCATATGCGTATAAATGCCATACTATGCATAGGTATATGCGTTCATAACATCATCAAGCCTCTGAGGGTATCCCATCATATCATCTCGGCTACTATGGGGCAAATTATCAACGTATACCAGTTGATCAGGTGGTGGTGTGTATATAACACCATAACCTTTTCCCATGTCCCGTATACATATAACATACGCGTATATAACGCCATCTGGTCATGGGTCAATGTATATGTATAAATGCATGAAATGCATAAGAAATACGTTAATAAGATTTCTCGGAATATCACAAAATCAATATGTATTTTGGATAAACTTTGTCAAATACGTATTTTTCTGAGACCCATGAACAAAAAAAAAATAATTCACATGTGGAATCAAGAATATAGACACCCCTAATACTTCTATGAATAGAGTCATTTATGAAAATTGTGCGTTTACTCGTTTTATTTGTATCGTATGAATCATTCCAAAAAGAAAGAAGGGATAACCTTAACATGCCTGGACCGATTCTCTTGATGATCCCTCTAACACATGTCTTTTGCGAAAACACGTAACGATAAATTGAAGTAGGAAAAAATCCGTATGATGTTCTTGAGAAAAATTATACCGTACTCTCTTAGAATTATAAATCCCGTTGCTATTACATTACGTAGTCTCGTATGAATTTTGTTGAAGCAATTTACCATAACAGATCCGTATGATATCTTTCTTAAATAAATTTGAACAAAATCTTTCATGACCTTTCTTGAAGTGAATTGCGTTGCCAAGATGCTTAAGGAATTTTTGCTTGAATTTTCGAATTCTTGCTTGAATTCTTGTTGAAGCAGAATGTCACGTTACTAAGTTGCCTACCATTTTTAATATAAGCACTCACGCTGCTCTTTCCATATTTTGTGAATTTGAGAGCCTTTTATGGCTTAGCCAAGAGTTCCTTTCAAGGTGCTACCTAGCCAAATAAAATACTTAGTCACCTTAGGCTTGATGAAAGCTTTACACATGCTGCCACGTTTGGAGCATTTAACCTTATTCAAATTATGCTCAATTAATTAGGTAATATCCCATTACCCAATAATTAACTAATTACCCATATAATCAAGAATTATCTTAAATTACTTAAAATACTACTCACTTTAAATATACTTTATATACCTTACTATCATGGTCATGTGGTACCTTGTATAGCACAAATCCATAAATACCAGGTATTATAGCTTAGACCGTATTTTATCTCCAAATGTCAAATTTTGACGAAATTCATTTTCTTCGATTTGCTTACCCCCTAACCTTCACGAATTTACTTATTACTTGTTTGAAATAGCGTAATACTTATAATCTCAAAATAAATTTTATCCCCGAACTTACGTCGATTAACTTACGACGAAACTTTAACATATAAAAATGCGGGATGTAATATCTCATTTCCGAGCTTATATCAATTTACTTATGGCGTACTTTTACGTACGAAAACATGGGGTGTAACATTATATATAAAGAAAAGTTAATTTAGAGAGGTGAGGTTTACCTCATACATAGCCTATTGCATCTCCAAACATGTAGCTTCAAATTTCTGCTATACATAGGCTCATTTTAGTCCTTTTGTCTGCTTGCAAAGTTCAATGGGAGAATACGTGTATTTCATCAAACAATTGGCCTGCACTATGCACATAAGAAATTAGAGTAAAAATAATCTCACAAGTCACATATCAACAATGATTATATTTGTCTATACACAAGAATAAGAATAAAACAACAGAAAGAATATAAAATTATAATGGTAAGAATCAAAAGAGGGATTTATTATACTTTGTAGAGTTGTAAAATAATGAAGTAAAGAGCACTAAGACTTGAGACATAAGAGTGAGGAAATTTATACAACGATCATCAACAAAGTTAGGGGTCGCTAAAATTACTCAAAGCTTAAAATTCTCTGTGCAACAACCCTAACAATTTAAGCAATGACTAGGTACTGGTAAACTATTGTTGACATCACAATGGTAAAATATTAAGTGGATCTGTAGCATATCAATGAAAAATACAAGGTAACAAAACCTGAACGAGTTATGCTCAATCAATTCTTGGAAAAGAAACCCAATGAATGTTTTTCCACCTTTAATTTCCCACCAGCAAAATTAGGGTTTGACTGACAAAGTCTATGGGCAGCGACACACACACACACACACAGAGAGAGAGAGAGAGAGAGAGAGAGAGAGAGAGAGAGAGAGAAGCGAGGGAGACAGAGCGACATCGGTTCGACAGTAGCGACGAGAGCAGAGAAATATGAAAAATGAGGTTGGGCAGCAACTATTATTTTGTGAATTTTTACAGAGCAAAAAAATGAGGGAAATATAAAAAAGAAAAAGGAATGGAGGGAATTGGTCATAATTGGATTAAGAAGATCGCGGAAAACATAAAAAATCAAAATTTTGACTCGCTTTTAGTGGGGTTCTTTTACAGCTCCTATAGATAAACCTCCACAAACACAATTATTTTGAGGGGATTGGAATAAACGCCACAAAACTAACGAATAGTGGGGGTTTCTTATGACCTCCCTAAATAAACCCCCACAAATTGAGCTTTTTCTTGTAGTGAGCAGCCGTTACAGAGAATATCTGCATTCAAAGTCAATCGTTATGCACTACATTTTTATTTTCATTCAAGATAAACTTGATTTTACGATCTTGTCCCCCTAAGTAGGGGCTATAAATTGCAGGATTAACAACCATTGTAGGACATGAAATATTCTGCACACAAAAGCTATAATCTACTATTTTACGCTCGATCTAAACAGTTTTATCATTGCTTTTACTTTTGGTCTCGGAAAGACTGAGTTCAGAGTGAGGCTTGTCATCTCCTTTAATTTCAGTCGTTAATCTTATTTTTGTTCCTATTTCTTAATCATTTTTGGATCAAGTCGATTCGCTTGTCTATAAATCACGCTATAAATTCAACTGTACCGTTTTACGGGTAAATATTTTTAAAAATTTACTCATTTCCTTTTCCAAATATTCATTCTTACCATCTTATTCGGATAAATAAGTAGTTAAAAAATCATGCATGTGCAGGAAAGTCTAAATGATCGTGATATTACATTTTAAAAGCAAATGTGACTTGCAACATTCGTGGAGGACTCAGAAGTCAGAACATACATTATGTCGAGCGATAAACGATTAGACGAGTACACAATCAACACGAAGAAAATAGGAAAGAAAAAGAAAAAGAAGACAGAGACAAGGATTTAACAAGGTTTAGACAAATCTACATCCTCATAGCAAGAGCAAAGAGAGATTTTCACTTGTAAGAATAAGAAATAAACCAATAGCATTAATCCCCAATTATAATCTTCTTTAAAAACCTTAAGTGTTTTCCAAACTAAATAGGCAAAACTTGCGTCACGAAAAAATAAAAAAACTCAAGAGTGTAAGCTTACGGATTGAGCAAGCTCACACTTGCGAAATTAAAACTATTGCATTCGATGTAAGAAAGAAATTGTTGGGACACTCTAAATCTCGCTATTATGTCTATCTAACAGTGATTTCATAAGCACCTTTTATATTTGGTACTAATATAGCCGATAATATTAATTATAATGTACTTGTAATGCGCAAATTACAAAGGACTCAATATCTATTTCATGCTGATTACTACTACAACGAGTGCCGCATCCGTCAAATCTTTTTCCACCTAACTACCTGTAACCAAAAGAGAGGACAGGGAAAAGCAATAACACAATTAACCACATTGAAAATTATTTTATGACGTGATACCTCCATGCAATGGTATGATGCGGTGACAAGTGCGATATAAGCCTGTTTAGTGTTGGAAAGTTTGTAACCAAAAAGGGAAAAAAAAAATCAAAACCCAAAACCAATTATGTTTAGCTAAAAAACAGAATTTGGTGTGCAAAATTTTAAAAAAGAATTCTTTAAATAAATTAAACTCAGAAGAAAGTGTCACTTATGCTATCAAAAGTGGAATCATGAATTGAAGATAATTTTCCTTTCATTTTCAAATTGCCTTTCAGTATACAGATGCAGCTAAAATCCATATAAAGCATGCCAAAGCTGCAAAGCATCAGCGGGCCGGCGAAGAAATAAGGCATTGACATAAAATAAAATTTTAAAAAGAGTGTTCTAGTGCTTTTAGGTATATTCTTAGGAAGTGAAAGATTTCTTAGGAAATTAATAACTATTCGATATCTCATAAGAGAATGAAAGTTTATCGTAGCCGGGAGTCAGGATTACAAATGACTTCTTTGGATTGAGTTCTTTCCTCAACCAATGGACTCTAATCTAGTGCTCCACGTAAAACAGAAGTATCAAACTTTTGTCGCAAAATAAAATAAACCGAGCTGACAACATCCTCAATATTATGTACTTTCCCTAAATTAATTTAATAAACACCACCTGGCAGCTGGTGAAGTACTTAAAAATATCATATGGTAATGGTACTCAAGTTGCAGATCACACAGGATAAATTTTTAAGTAAAAATTATACTATTTCTTGCATGTAAATTCGGATCATCATTTCTTATACTCACTCAATTCTAATTTATGTGATGATATTTGATTGGACAAAAAGTTTAAAAATGACAGAAAGACTTTAAATGTATGATCTAGAATAAGTCATAAAATTTTATGTCGTTATAAATCATCATAGTAAGGGTAAAATTAAATAATTTTTTTAAGTTAAATAATTATTATACTGAATAAAGAAACGTGATCCTTTTGGAACTGGCTAAAAAGAAAAAAAGTTGTCACATAAATTGGCATAGAAAAGTATTTTAATACATGTTATTCATGTCAGAAAGATTTAAAATATTAGTAAATTATCCCGATTTAAAATAGTAGTAATTAACAAAAAGTAAAATAAGGCCCTTAACACTTCAAAAATATATAGTCCAACTTATTACTAATTAGAGGCGGCTCAATAAATTTGGTGGCGTAAGGTAAAACTTCAATGAGAGTCCTTAAACTTTTTATTAGACAAAAAAACAAAAACGGTAAATTTTTTCTTTTTTTACTATAAAAAATTGTACTTTCTCATTTAAAACACTAAATATTTTTTAAAAAGTAAATAACATATATACTTATTAGAAAAATTTGGGACCTCAAAATATAGGAGGTACACAAGGTCTATGTGAGAAACACAAGGAATAGTTTGGGCGCGAAAGAAAAGTACGTAGAGTAGTATCTCTTTTAAAAAGAAAGAAATACTTTTAGAACTTATAAACACGTCATGAGATTTTTATCACTATAAAAATATGTCATTAAGGTTAAGATAAAAATTTTAAATCAAATTGTTTTTAATTAGATAGATAATATTTATTTCGGAATAGACTAATAAAAAAATAGTGACACAAAAAATAAAATAAAAATTTTAAACTATCAAACGATGACAACATCTTTAACCAAAAGGAACTTTAAGTCCTCTGCTGCCACTAAAAATTTCATCTCTCTAAAAGCAATCTAAATTATTCAAACCTTAACAAGCTGAGTTTTCAAATCAAATCGATATTGTCCGGCAAATTTAAAAACTCCATATATTTCTTTTGTCTCATTTGTATCTTAAAAGATAAAAATGTACCTTAGAGCAGTCTCTCTACCTATATAAATTAATCTATGGTTGCATATGCATCTTGATCCGTTGTCAATAGGGGTGTATATGGACCGGGTTGGTTTGATTTTGAACCGGGTTGATTCGATTTTTATCAAAATCAAAACAAACCAACTATATCAGTTTGCATTGCTTCGGTTTTGTCGAATTTTTCGGGTTTTTCAGATTTTTTTGTTACATGAATATTTTTCAATTTTACTTTGTTAAAGTTATAGATAAAATTATGGTAAGTGAATATATGTTTAGTAAAAATTTAAAAAATTGAATAACGTATGATCTATTAAAATATTCTTATGGGAGAATTTTCTTAGTAACACATGACAGTTATTTTCTTAGTTGTCTAACAATAATTTTTTTGTTAATATACGCTTTCAAGATTAACCGAATTTAATAATTAAACATAAAATCAAGATGATACCTAAATAATGATATATTCTATTAATTCTAAATCATATTCGAAAAAGGTATAAGAAATCTTGACATATGAATATAGAAGAATAAAGAGATGATTGACGCATTTCAGTAACACTTAATAAGAAAGTGATACAACTCATTATTTATAGTAAATAAAAATAAATGCACTTTATAGTTCTATTAAATATTACATCTCATGAGAGGATCTTGAATATTTCTACATCTTTTAAAGAAAATTCAATATAAAGTCTTAAAAGTATATATAAAAATTATATATTTATATGTTGGTTTGGTTTAGATTTTTTTACTCAATACCAAACCAAAATCAAACCAAACCTAGTTGGTTTTTTAATCAATTTGATTTGACTTTTCGGTTTGGTAAAATTTTTCGATTCAGTTTTGAACATCCCTAATTGGCCTAGTTGCCAGCAATACATGTTATCTTTTAGTTAAAAAAAAAAAAAAGTATCCATTTGTTAGTTGTGCAAAGCAAATATCATTACTCTATTTGACTATCAGAGGAAAAAATGAAATTAATTGACACAAGCAGAAGCCATGCAGAAATAATCTATAATAGATAAAAGTAGATATACAGCTGTATTCAACATATAGTTCTTGAACATATACTATGTAGTTTCACGCGAAAAATATATACTAATCATAATCTTTTATTAGGAGTTTCAAAAAAGAAATATGAAGATAATGATATTATAACTTTTTAGGACATTAAGTAGGTGTTATGGTGGTTGGCCCAGTATCTCTTAGCATTATAGTTGCTTTACCTTCGTACCCTTCGCATCCAACCACAAAAAATACCAAAGTAGAAAATAAGAAACAAAAGAGAAAATTATATCTAGGTACGTAGGACCCATTTAAAAGGTTTTCAAAAACATTATAACTAATTAAAACAAGCTGAGGTTGAAAGAAAATACAAAGTTCGATTCCAGAAATTAGGCCCCGTTTGTCCACAATTATTTTTTCTTCTTTTTTTTTTTTTCAGAATTGTTTTTCAAAAATTGCGTTTGTCCATGAAATTTTGCCATTTTATGAAAATTTTTAGAAATAAGTTTTTCAAAACCACTTTTTCAAAATTTTCAGAATTTTGTCCCCCTTCACAAAATTACAACATTTTTTTTCAAAATGCATATCCAAACATAATTTCAAATACTCCCTCCGTTTCAATTTATGTGAACCCATTTGACCGGGCACGGAATTTAAGAAAAAAAAGAAGACTTTTGAA